GTTTCTCACACTGGATTCAAACCTCTAATTTTATCAAACAACCAGTCTATTGATATGGTACATGACGCAAGAAATCTAGGAGTTGTTATTGAGTCAAATATGCGGTTCAAAAATCACGTAATTCAAGCTGTCAGGAACTGTTTTTACCGCCTTAAAATATTGTACAAATTTCGCCCTTTCATTAATTAAGATCTTAAGATTTTATCTATTTATATCACTAATTCTTACTAAGTTTAGTTATGCTGATACTTTATTTGGACCCTGTTTGCTGATAAGAACAGAGCACCTACTGCAGCGAGTCCAATATGCATGTGCACGTTTTTATTTTTATATCCCACCAAGAGCTTTCATTGCGCCATATTCAAATGATTCCAAATTAATGAAAATGACTTCTCGCAAGAAACTCCATTTTGCTACTTTATTGTTTGATGTCATTCTCACTAAGATCCCTGAATATCCGTATTCCAAAATCACTTGTCTAAAAGATACGAATGCATATACTAGAGCTGCTTTTATAGGATACAGATTCCGAAGCATAGGACTGCTGCTTTCCGGCGTTATTTTATACACGGAGCCTTCAAATGTTGGAATAACTTGCCGCTTCCGATCGTTCGCTTAAAACAAAATATAATTTTAGTAAAAAAAATAGGCTTATTCATTGCAATCACAGGTTCAACACGGTTTGTTATGATGGCTGTAATGTACCTTCTCACTTTTCTGTAGTCGTAAGCAGAGTTATTGATCTCCTATCTATAGAGGGTAGTTCTTGTTTATAATTTCCTGATTCCTTTTGCACATTATAAATAATATACTGCCACATCGAAGAAATTTGTTTTGGTGATATGTCATCCATATTTTATCAATTGGCATTTGGCAATTCGACTGTCTGACAGACGCACTTTTGTCGTTGTAGTCATTTAAAAATTTGTTCGTGTAATGTTTCTTGTTTTTATTAGTATATTGTTTATTTGTTAATTTATTTTTGTTTGTTGGTGTCCATGATGTCACAAATGGATTCAGCAGAATACCAGTGCAGCTGGTCCTACCAGCTGCTTATACTGAGCAGGGTCCAGTGTTGGCATCACACAGCATACACATTAGCAATTGGTATTTCAATTTAAATGCTTTCGTTTTTGTTTAATCTTTTGTATCATGTGTGCTAACATTAAAACTATTTTTCTGTCAAAGACCCGACGTGGCACAATTCAGATAGGTAACTAGCAGTACCAAATATAATGACTTAGTAATAAATAACTGACATTTCAAATGCCTCCCTATTTGAGTAATGAACAAGCAATAATAAAATAGAATAGAATAAATTTATTTGTGAAATATAGGTAGACAGTCATAGGTGGTATAAATTATAAAATATATTGTACATTTTACACCTTTTCGAGGCATATAAAATATGTCACTTTATGTCAATAATAATTAATATAAATCAATGCTATAAAGAGTATTGACAATATAAATTCAGATTACAAGATATAACAGTTTCAATTTTATTATCATATTTATCTAACAATTATATTAACTTAGTCCTGATTCCAGCCCATATCCAACTATATCAGGATTATGTTATTTATAAATTCAGAAATCGAGTAAGTAATACGCTTTCTCGACTTAACTCAATCCCAGATATTCTAAATGAAAAATGATTAAAAATCATAGTATAGCACTGTAAATGCAAAATTGATACAACAAAATGTTTAGAGAGAAAGTTCAGAACTAGAGTATATACGAGAAGTAAATAAGTAAAGATGGCTGTCAAAGAATTTTAGAACTTCACTGAGTCACAGGATTCAAAGTGAATAAAATTGGACTGTAATAAATATCTAATGCACAACCAAACCTTGTAAGTATATTTGAATTTTATTATAATGCATGCAGTACTATTCCTGTGAATGGTTCAATTCTACCCACGATGATGAATGCATGGTTTCAGGAACATGTATCCCGAATATAAACCTAACAGCGAGTGTTGCGTTAGCTCGATGGTCATTCATATTTTATTATTAGAGAAATCGGGCCAAGAAATCACACGCATTCACAAGAACACGACGTACATGTCTAGTGTTTTATAAATTTTGAAGACACATTATTTTCATTAGACAATCATCATTAACACCGAATAATGCATACTAATAGGTAAACGACTGGTCCTTTTAAGTCACTATGTTCGTGACAGATAAGAAACACAGCAGTGGCATTATGACGCATTCCTTTATGGTAAAGGTACCTCTTTAATGAAAAACAAATGGCCTCGAATCGTTAGTCGCAGTATTGCGTTTTAAGTTACAACTTTAAATTATTCTTTTTTAATAATAACAACAATGTTGGATTGATTGTTACATATACGAATATTCTCACCTAAACATCTATCTTACAATTACGTACATTCGAAGAACAATAATATTACAACTATAGCATTTAATAGAGCAGGTGTTAATCTGTAATATTTACAGGACACGTTGCATATTACACGACGGAATGTGGGACAACCTGCCATGGCAGGCATACGACCTCTCCTGGGGTGGTTACCATCAGTAAATTACAACCGTGTAAAGGTTAAAGTATCACATATTGGCTTATTTAAAAAACCGAATATGCTAAATATAAACAAATTGAGCCAACATTTAACAAATATCTGAAGATAGCCGCAATTACAAACTAGAAAATAGATGACGGAGACCTGTTTACGGTAACTTTAATTCAACTGTATAATCCTTAAGATAAATAATACAAAAGATGAAATTACCGCAGTAAAAATTGGCAAGTAAAGTTAAATAAGTTAAACTAAAACAATAAAACGAACAGAATAGTCTATCAGCACTGTCCAAATAGTGACAATGCAGCCATCAAGTCATCTCCAGTAGTCACATGGTCTAATTTGCACAAATTTGAAGCAAAACGAGTGGTGTTCTGTCTGACGTTATCTCACAGAACGACCTCCACCACGCGTGAGTCATTGACGAGACTTACTACGCAAAACAACTCAGAAGCAATTTCCGAGTACGCTCTGCACGCAATCAGACCGAAGCTAGCAAGATCTAGATAGCGAACCTCTCAAAAATAAATATTAAAAGTTATGTTTCTTTTTTTTGCAACTGACGAATATTAATAAGTAAACATGATGACTACCTGTTAACGTCGAGGCTCAAAACGTATAAAATAAAGATTAAACCACTCCTATGCTGATTAGTCCTCCGAATTTATAATTAGGCTTGACATTTAATGACATTCGCTTATAAATAAACAAAGGTCATTGCACTGAACCCTTCAATTTTATAATGAATATTTCATAAGAAACGTGGAGTTTTTCTTTATTTCGAAATAGAGTTGCGATTCGAACGTTTTCAATAGATATAGAATGAATAGATTGATAAGCACGTTTATAAATATTATGCTCATTTCAATTTGTGTTTATAAACTCAAAAAAATACAGATAGATTTTATAGAACAGAATGTGTTAACAAAACCTTATATACTCATTTGATATTTTCTTTATTTCTTTTCGTATTTTCTTATATTTATTTATTTGTTCATATCGGTCTCATAGTATCTTTAAAGATTATTTTATTTATTACGATATTGAGTTTATTAACTCAAAGCAATACATATAGATTTTACAGAAATTATGTGTTAATGAGTACATACCTAAAATAGTATCTTTAAAGATTATCATTTTTATAACGATATTGTATTCATCATAATCTAATTTTTGATTCATCGATCTTTAATAGTAACTTTATTTGAAAATTATAAGGATCTTAACTTAACGTTAAATGGTTCATTTTAGTGATAAAACACTACTTAAAGTTTCGTCTTGATGCAAACGCCGGTTGCAACACAAGTTTTCCTCAACAGACCATAACCATAACCAATTTATGGCGACCTTCGCACGGCAGTTACTATTTAGTTTTGCATTTGTTTAACTTCAAGTTTTTTAATTATTTACAAAAGAAAACGTGTCATAAATTCGTACAACGTTTAAGGTAAATTACATGTTTAATTTTCAAAGGGCAAGATTAACTAATTTAATATGTAAACAAAAAATTAAATTCTTTACCATGATTCTTATTTCCTCAAATCGATATGCATAAGCCATTTAAAAAAAACGTAAAAAAGTGAAAAATAATAATTATCCCAAAAGATACTTATTCAAGGTAATGTTATTTGGGCGTAGGTTTTCTCTAGGTTATTATATTAATCAAATAATAGGCGCCCGGCTTTAATAGCATTTTTTTGAATAAGCCGCTTTCGAGATACGTATTATTTTTACTTTTTTTAAGTTTGAAGTCGGTTATAATTTTTGAAGTTTTAATGCTTTTTAGTGATATTTTTATATAATAGTTAACGTTAAAAATAATTTTCTGAAAACCGCGGCAAATATGGTTCATCTAAACGTGAGATAAGAACGGACAATACATACAACACCTGTTAAAGTGCGAACCTCCGTTTTTACTTGGTTAATATCCCTAAGTCTGACAAATACTATGGTGAAAACCGCATCAAAATGACTTCGGTCAAACGCGAGATATTCGCGCACAAATATACATACAGGTCAAACAGAGAACCACCTTTTTGAAGTCGGTTAAAAAAGCTCACACTATGTAAGAAAATTGAACTCTTTAAATCACCTGTTGTATACCATTGCATAATCTAATTATGATACATGGCCACACTCCAATGATCAAGTACAATCATAATTATCTCGAAATTACATAAATGAACCTTTAATAAGATTATAATTTCTATAATTTCTATTCTAATTAGTTCCTTTTTTATCGTTATCATTAAATTACAGCGATACATTGAGGCAGAATGATACATGACGTCACGCTTTCGTAAATTTTCTACTAAACTGTGACGTAACGAGCCTCCACTCGCCTGTTCTCTATGCTATTTCTTGTTAAATTGAAGTAAAAAAACACAAAAGTAACAGACAGTCTATGAGGGCTCCTTTTTAAGTACGAAATCGTAAAAATAACATTACATACCTGAGCGTGCCTTAGTTGGTTCACGAGGGTGGAACACCTCTCGGGGTCCTTGCGGCCATCGAACGAGTCCAACTCTGCCGCGATCATGTTGAGAGCGTCGTCGGCGAAGAAGAACTGGGCCAAGAGGGACCGGTCGTCCCTCTATAACAAACAAAGAATATCAATTAATCTCACATACGTTACATGTGATTTTGGGCTGTTAAACTCAGATTTAGACAACTTATCTGCTTATATTAACAAACTATTGATCTAATACACATCAACATACATCAAGAGTAGCTCGGAGGCGTAGTGGATAAGCGCCGCGGCACGTGATCGTTGTCGTTTACCAACTTTTGCAAGGGTCGGTCACAGGTTGGGTGACCAAAATTATCATCTCGAGCTACTCCGTCCTTCGGAAGGCACGTTAAGCCGTTGGTCCAGGCTGCATTTGTAGTCGTTAATATCCCCCAATCCGCATTGGGTCAACTTGGCGGGTCATGGCCCATGCTCCTTAACCATCTAGAAGGAAGGCCGGAGCCCCTGCAGTGAGGACGAAATAAAGAGCTGATGATGATGCTGATGAATGATGGTTGATCTAATAGGTTGGAGGAAAAGCTTCATCGCATTTCATATGAAAATTTACATTTCACTAAAGTATGTAGGCACCATTTTGTGCGATAACTTTTTGCCATCTTGTAGGTAGGGACATGATCGCATTGCTATAGAAATTCCAGTGCGTCTGATCAAAAAACTGCGACAAGTGGTTTTGGCAGTCCTCGCGTAATGGTAACCTGACACCGTCTAAAGAATTCAGAAGAGACCGAAACAGGTGGAAATCTGAGGGTGCAAGGTCAGGACTATATAGCGTATAGTCACTCAACACTCAACAGAAATTAAAGAGGTGCCCAAATATCCAACTATTTTGTGTACCCAGCTTTTTTCAAATGCGCCGAACTCTTTTGTGGTCAATCTCTAGTTCTTCAGCTACGTCTTCGTCGTAGTCAGAAAGATTTTATTACAAGTTTATGCATACTATATGGGAAGGCTTTTTTCCCAATCTAATATGCAGTGCGTTTTTATAAAAGCATTCAAAATTCACCTCAAGCACAATTCTAACCTGATCCACACCATGCAGACTCTTAATCGCCTGCATGAATTTGTACAACCATATCATTATTTGTTTACTTGTTATTATAACCGCCAATGTGCATTACTTGTCCTTCTTTCGAGCCGAAAAAAGCGGCGGATTTATTTGTCTATCAATGAGGTGTAACCAACATTTAAAGGATTACGCTTTAGAAGTGTAATGACGATATTTGCCAACGATTTGTTCATTTCATTTCAGCATTTAAATTCTTTAGGAATACTGGTCAGTATAAGAGGATAAATTAATACGCCTAAAACAAAATGCACTTAACTGGCTTTTTTATCTGCAATATTTGACGGTCGGCATCAAGGTAAAAGCAAACACGAAACCCTGTAAAGTTCACGGCCCGTTTACATACACTATTCACGCAAAGAGTTTCTTGACCTTTCTTTTAAAAAGGCAACATAGAAAGTACGTAGTCGGGTAAATTTTACTTTTTTGGTTGCTCGGTTACTGCCATGAACCCCTATCGATATGGAAACGGTCATCAGTCTAAAAATTTAACATAGATAACGTTGCAATTATTAAATTATTAATTATTCAAGAAACGACGAAAGAAATCAAACGAAATACTAATTTTTTCATACTTATGATAAAACATCTCTCTCATAAGTTGGACAGAAAAGATAACCAATGAAGACGAAAGAAAAAAAGAAAGAAGGTTGGTACTTATTATTATTTTTATTTATTTTTTTAACCAAAGATGAAATTTGCAATCATTAATTGAACACTGTTTCCCACACTAGGATTTGGGTGCCCACACCTGGGTTGTAGGATCCAGTCTCTTTCATTCGGAAATCACTAATCAAAAAATTTACATGGTAGATAAATAAACATTACTAATACAATTAATTCTTGTGTGCGTGTGTGTGTGTTTGTGTATGTGTGTGAGGGGGGAGGGTATGTGTGTGTGTTGTAGCATATTATAAGTATTTTAGAGTGTGGAAGTTTTTATGGTTCAAGAACCTTGTCTTATGTAGATATGTATTATACACTAGTAATTCATGAAAAAAAAACAACTTAATGCTAGAGAACAAGAGGGAGGAAATGGTGGGACACGTTACGGTACAATATGATGAAAAGAGATACCTAAATACTTGGAAGACTTTAAGCTAATAAAAATCAAGGTAAAAGTCTATTGAGCAAAAATAGAGATTACTCCACCGATACGAGACTCGCAATAAAGTTTGTGTTTGGATGATATGATGATTGACAACGAAACACTCTAGCTAATATTGCTTTGAGGATTTTACATAGGTTCTTTCACTGTCAATTGGTTAAGTGCTATAAATTACTTATTACGATTATTTTTTATGGGAGGCAAATGTGAAAACCATAATTAAACACATCAAGCTCCCCTCCTAAGTTCTTTCTGTATTAATATTTTGTATCCTTTCACAAAAACATTACGTTATAAAATATAAGGAGGTACAAATAATAGAAAGACCTTGATAAACAGCGCGTGTCTGCTAAATCCATAACATTTGAAGTTAACGCCCACCAACCCAGACACATTTCGAACTAACATGATAGTTACGAAGCACGAAATCCTACTTTGACGAATGAAACAGACTTTAATCATATAATGGTTACTAAACTGTTACTATCCAAGAGCAGGTCACAAAAACTGACCTGGAAGAGAAATAAAATATCGATTATGCTTCAGCTAGGTAACCAGTGAAAATCTTAGAATTATAATTTGTACTGTCTATTAAAATACTTTTTAAATACGAAGACGATTGGATAACATACTTATAATTCGCAAAACCTATCACATAGCACCATTCGAAGAAAGATTAAGCCGACTGGTGTATCGTATAGTGACCAAGGTGACTGACAAACGTCACAGTCCATTGAATTTCATCTCCTTCACTTTCATAGCCGAATATTGCCAGCAAAGTTACAAACTTAATCACCCTCTCACCGAGTGCTCAAATCGCTTGACTTATACGACGAGTTTTATTTATAAACGTAACACGAATCGATTTGACAATCGAAACGTTCTTACGTCGCACGCTCGTAAGACTACGGCATGGGTGTGAAATTTGCAAATGTACAGACTGGTTGCGTTACCAGTCTGTAACGATCGGTGGGAATTTGATTATCTTAATTAAATTTTTAATCTTATTTGTCTTAAAGCTCGCTTTCTCAACTTTCGCACGAACATATCGGGTTTAAAGCGGATCTTTAGTAACTAAACACTGGAATTGATTATGCAAATCTTACTACACGATATCCAAATAGAAAGTTAAATATTTGATAGTACAATAAAATGGACTTGCGGCCAACATGTCCGACACATGTTGACCATAAGTCCATTTTGTTGTATTCATTCGATATTGTTAACAGAACCAAATCAGACCGAGGCTTCACTGTCTAAATAGACACAATTAAACAACCCACTGACCCGTTTTGGTGAATCACAGACTAAACATGTTATAAAACGGATTTGAGTAATGATACAATTGACAAATTACAAAACTATGAAACTAAATCTAACTTTATAAACTGAAATTAAATAAACGTGAAACAGTTTCTATGTGCGAGTCGAACTTGCGTTACGAGAAAGAATGTTGTAAAATAAACTAACTATATATGCCTTTCGGTCTTCTTGTAAACTATATAGGTAAGGACAACTAAAATAGATTTCAAAAAATCTAAAAATAATTCCTAATAACTAATTCGATAAACCAATTTAAGAAACTTATAAAAGAAAAGAACTGTCCTGACTGACTCGTCATCGCCGAGCGTAAACTATTAAAGTTCCATGAGTTTAGGTCAGTAGACTTATTTCGTGGAAAACTTTTCGAAAATCTTTCCTTATTAATTAGTAAAGATTTTCGAAGTCTTCCTTCCTTAATAAATATGGATTTTAAATGTATATGAAAGCCATGTCTTAGGAACACGTAAATTTACTTATATAAAATTAAAAAGTGGACACTTTTTCAGCATTTGTGAAAATTCTACCCCTAAAGAAATGGGGGTTAGAAGTTTATACGGAAGAAAATCGCGAGATAGAAGCAATTGCAAAAAGCTAGTTTTATTATAAGGGAGATTCTAACTTCCTAGAAAGGTATCTTCGGTAGGTATTTAAAAAAAAGATCTAATGTATGCTCGAATGTATGACATGCCACAATAATACTCGACGAGTAATGAATGACTCAGCTCATAACAAAATTGAATTCTAAAAATATTTGGCCAGCTTTGTTTGTGTGCATACACTCAAAGGTCGTATTATGGAATATTTTACAATGATTATAACGTCACAAGTTAGTATTACTTTCTGCCAGTAAAAAAAATAGTAGTGCTGTCTAAATTAACAGGAACTGGTACGAGATATAACATATAATAATATAACAACACCAATATATATCCAAAAACCACTAATTTTAAATTTATTATGTCTTTAACAGAAAGTCCAAATAAGCTCTAATTAATAATGAAAAACTACTGTATATAGTCAGATTTAATTGGATAAGAAAATTAATCTAAATTTGTCGATAAAAATTCACAATTTATTTAATTACTTCTCTTAAATATACAAAAGTCAAAGTCCAAATAATCTTTATTCAAATACTCTATTACTCTATAGGAAAAAAATATAAATATGTGAATCACCTTGTAGCCAACGAATAGGAAAAATTATACAACACTCGTAATGCTTGCGAGTAATTACCTAACTAAAAATAGGTTTTGTCACTTTAATTAAAACAATACGTCATGTTCTGTCCCTGTCACATTGATAGTCCTGCTAGTTTCATTTCGTTTTTGTTGTTTCATTTAGCGAGAGCATAAAGATCTAACCGAGCTTTTATTCATTTCGCAACGCTAAGAAGGTATAAATAAAACATATGTAGCTAATGAAGTCTTTATTTTCCTCCTTATGAATAATCTTAGTTTCGTATATTCACTCTAAAATTTACACTAGTATTTTTTTATTTACATTTCAATTTCCAAAAAGTACTACATCTATGGATGAAGTGCTCTATGTATATGGTAACCCATATACATA